AATCCATTTCCCCCTTATTCCTCATCCGTGACATAACAAAACAACAACATTGTTTTCTTACAACAAATTGAGATCTAAGAAAATCAAGGGGATTCGGCAAAGTAAAAATCAAGTGATAATTAAAACTCGTAGTTTTTGAAAGGAAACTGTTAAGGACAATAACTAACTAACCATTTAACCTAAGCAGAACGCCCATTTTTTCTCTAATGTTACTGATTCAATGGTATATGTAGTGTTTTTTTTTTATTTTTCTTCTCTTTTAGTAACCCTACCTAATTAAATCCATCAAGGAAATAGAAAAATACATACCTTATAATATCAAGTGGTCGCTACATTAATAAATAGTATTTGAATAAATTACTTGTTGAAAATTATATATAAATACTTTGTTCTACAGATAAAACAAGGAGACTAGTAAATCTGGATAAGTATTTGAAGACATGAATTCACACGTGATCATGTTCATTCTGTCATGTTTTATACATCTTAATGAAATAAGAAAAGTACATGACTGTAAATGTAAAACAATGGAAAATGCAATGGAAAATTTTGAATCCGATGAGCGATGACTGATGTTTTCTTCTTTCCGAAAATGATGTTCAGAAAGCTATATATATTTTGTATCTTAATATCTAACCTTTATTGAATATTCATTTGTTCATATTTTCTTAGTCACATTTCTTTGCGTTGTCGAGATAATTAATATTTTAGTCATCAGTAATGCCTCCCTACATTTGATTTTTGTAGACATTGTCAGAATTCGTTATTGTATTTAATTGTTACGTTTTTTTTTCTAATGCAAATTTATCCTTCAGTCTGTGGATAGAGTGTAGACTTGTATCTGCAATTCGTCGTAATATATCTTTTAAAAGAAGCAAAGACGGAGACACACAAAAAAAAGAAACAATAAGAAATAAGTCCGTTACCCTCCATTTTTTTCTATCCCGCTGCCTTGCAGAAGGCAGTCAAGAGGTAATCGGACCCACCAGCCTTTTCCCTTCACTTTCTTCACTTTCTGCAACTGACAGCGAGTATCTGTGGTGGAAGAGCTCTGCAAGATCGTATTTACTAGATTTTTATTCGTCCGTTTCCTCTTCTTCCTAAATCTTTTACACTTTTTCCTATCCCTTCCTTTACAAGTCTTCACTCTCGTCTTCTTCTTCTTCTCGCCTTCACCGCTTCCTCCTTCGGCTTCGATCATTTTCTTCGTCTTCCGAATCCTCAAGACTTTTATCTTCCAGCCTTTCCCCTCGACGAAGCCAACTCGTTCCTTAAGGACAATGTGCGTTGGAGTGTTGACTCGCCAGCTCTTTCGGGGCTTTTTCGACTTCGTTGATATTTTCTCCTTCGTTCTAACCGTCGTCTGGTCGCCGAGGTTAACCGTCAGTTTCTTATTATTGTTCTTCTTCTTCTTCTCTTTGGTTTCTTTCTTCTTCTTCACTATGCCCTTTTTCTTCGTGAGGTCCAGTTCGTCGACGTTAGTTTTTTTGTTCTTTGATTTATCTTTCTTCTTTTTATTTCCCTTGTTCTTAGATTTTTTAACGATCTTTTTGGAATCTTTCTTTTCTTCCTTCTTCTCTTTCTTCTTCTTTTTCTTCTTCTTTTCCTTCAATTTCTTCTTTCCGTCTTTATCGAGCGGTGCCACTCTCTTGCATTTGCCTCTTTTGCAGATCTGAAAGATAGGGTGTCCTATATATATATATATGGCATGTCTGGTAATTCTCTCTCTCTCTCTCCTCTCTCTCTCTCTCTCTCTCTCTCTCTCTCTCTCTCTCTCTCTCTCTCTCTCTCTCTCTCTCTCTCTCTCTCTCTCTCTCTCTCTCTGTGTTTCTGCATGTGTTTGTTGTTTGTGTTTGTTTCTTTGTCTGTGCGTGTGTGTGTGTGTATGTGTCTTTGTACAAGTTTTCTTGTCCATGCACTCTCTTTCTCTCTCTCTCCCTCTTTATCTCCATCTGTTTCTCTCTCGTTCCTGCCCCTCTCCCTCCTCCCTCCCTCTCTCTCTCTTTCTCTCTCTCTCCTCTCTCTCTCTCTCTCTCTCTCTCTCTCTCTCTCTCTCTCTCTCTCTCTCTCTGCCCTCCTCCCTCTCTCTCTCTCTCTCTCTCTCTCTCTCTCTCTCTGTATATATATATATATATATATATATATATATATATATATATATATATATACATACACACATTATATATATATGTGTGTGTGTCTGTGCATGTGCTTGTTCGATCGTGTGTGTTTGTGTGTATGTGCTTGTTTTTTTTTCTCTTTTTTTCGCGCGCACGTGTGTGTGTGGTGTATTTACATGTATGTGTCTTTGTACGGGTTTCCTTACGCCCATGCATCCTTAATATGTACACGAAATTTCATTACTGTCTCTTTAGACTTCGAAAAGATGAGACACTACGATCTCATTCACAAGTAGCTGGAAAGCTCCTACGCATTCACAATTGCACGAAAAAGAGTGCGAGCGGATTGCAATTCATACACAATGCTGTCCTCGTTTGACTTCATCTGCATAAAAGGTGTTACGTGGACTACTGTGTTTCAGTTCCAGTGACAAGATTTGATGGACTACCGTGGAGCAACATAGTACTGTCGACGGAGGTGGATAGCATTGCGCAAAATCCTGTGTGGAAGATGCGTCTCTCCAGCAAACGAAGCAAATTAAGAATGAAACGAGGTTCGTAGGATACTCCGCGAACGCAGCTATGAACACATCGCAACCAAAATAAAAGAGTTGCTTCCAGGACGAGAATTAAGGCTGCTTCTAATATGCAATACGAATGGAAGGCAGAGAGTTGGAAGTAGTCTATAACAGTGTTGTCCAAACTGGGATCCGCGACAGAGATCATAGGGGTACGTGAACAAACAAGGAACACACGCCTCACATCTCATAATAAGTATTTTTAAAGCATTTCGTTATCAAATCCTCTTTTTTATTCATGTATATAATTCGAATCAATCTATTGACTAACACTCCTGCAAATGCTGTCTCTTCATGATTAGTATATTATTTGCATTATTCCAACTAAAACAGCTTGTCTAACCATGGTGGACAGGGGGGGGGGGTACGTAACAGTACAAGAAAGTAATAAAGGGTGCAATAGGCGAAGATATTTGGACAACACTGGTCTAAAACACATCGACAGAGGATTTTGAGCCATGAAAATGGGAGAGAGAGAGAGGGAGGAGGGACTCACCTTCTCAGGGAAAAAAAGCGCCTGATAAGAAATGAATAAGATAAGAGGAACGTGTGAAACGAGAGAGAGAGAAGGACGTACCTTCAGCGGACCACAGGGCGTTCCTTCGAGAGCCGAGGCTGAGGGAGTTCTGAGCTTGAATCCCTTTTTGCACCAGATCTCTTTGCAGACGTTCTGAAAGTGGGAAGACGAGACACGAATAAATTGTCTTGATAAACTGAATGAAATAAGGAAGACGATGAATTACAGATGTTCTTTGAAGTAGGAATCAAGACACGAAGGAACATACGAACGTAAAGTAAAATAGTAAAAACCGTGCCTCATGCACAACGAAAGATAAAGCAAATAACAAGATACAAAAAAAAAAAAAAAAAAAAAAAAAAAATAAATAAATAACAAGAAAAGATAAATTCACCAAGAAGCAATCTAGGAAACGGCTAGAAACATCAACAAAAGAATAGAAAGGCCATCTTTTCCGGTGACGATTAATACCGGTCTCATGATCGGAGGCGGGACACGCCGCTAAGCTCCGCCCACTCCTATGACGTAATGGGAATGGCTGCGGTTGCCGACTAGCTGTTTTACTATATTGGTTATTTTTTCGACTAGTGCATAGTATTTTAGAATATAATAACTAGGGTGACTTTTGATATCTTATGATGGGTTGTACCGTCATATATATAACCAATATGAGTACGAATTTGCAGGAAAATAACCGAGATAAGAAGAATGCGTTTGGTAACTCTATGTTTACCGCCGCGGGACCTTCGGAAAAGACGGCTCTAAATTCTCCTTGATTCAATAAACGCCAAGATGGATAGAATACAATCACAACACACACACACACACACACACACACACACAAAAAAAAAACACCTAGCAAAACTAAAATCCCTGAAACCCAAGATAGACCAAACCAAAACCACACTCTTAGAGGAAAAAACAACATAAAAACGGAAATAAATGAAGAGAAAATAGGATAATAATAATAAAAATAAACACAATAAAAACACTTACATTAAAGGGGCTCTCAGTTGACGAGAAGAAATCCCATCCTGCGCCGTACATGTAGTGGCACTGCTCGCTGGCACCGAATCTCCTCCCTGGCAGTTTGCCGCCGTGACCTTTCCTGGGGTCATCCAGCTTTTTGGTCGAGGTCAAGCATCTGCCGCTGCGAGGGAGAAAGGGGAGGGGGGGTTAGGTGGAGGAGTGGTAGGGAGAGAGGGAGAGGGAGAGAGAGAGAGAAGAGGAGAGGAGAAAGAGAAGGAGAGAGAGAGAGAGAGAGAAGAGAGAGAGGAGAAGAGAAACAGACAGACAGACAAACAGAGAAACCCACACAATTATTAACAGACAAACAAACCCAAGGAAAAAAACGCACACAAAAACAGAAAAAAAAGACAGACAGACAGACAGACACCAAGAAACCCATACAAAGATTACAGACACAAACAACCTCCCCCTTAAAAAAAAAAAAAAAAAAAAAAAAAAAAAAGATAAAAAAAAAATATATATATATAAAAAATAAAAAAAATAAAAAAGATATACAAAAATAAATAAAAATAAAAAGATATATATATATAGAAAAATAAAAAAATAAAAAAAAAATATAAAAAAGATAAAAATAAAAATAAAAGATAAAAACAAAAGACCTCCTCAACTGACCTCCCCGAATTGAGGAATTTCCCGAGCGCTTCCTTGGAGCACGAGGACCAGGTGGTGGCTCCCGATGACATGACAGAAGACATGAGGAACTGCTTCCCTTTGCACATCCACGCGTCAGAGCCTCCGTCGTGGCGCATGTCCAGGCTGCGGGAGAGAGATGACGCGGGTGAGGAATGGATGAGATGTGGATGAAGAATAGATATGATAAAGGTGGGGAATGGATGAGATGTGGATGAAGAATAGATATGATAAAGGTGAGAAATAGATGAAGAATAGATATGATAAAGGTGAGGAATGGATGAGATGTGGATGAAGAATAGATGAGACGTAGATAAAGAATAGATATGATAATGGTGAGAAATGGATGAAGAATAGATATGATAAAGGTGAGGAATGGATGAGATGTGGATGAAGAATAGATATGATAAAGGTGAGAAATAGATATGTGGATGAAGAATAGATGAGACGTAGATAAAGAATAGATATGATAAAGGTGAGAAATGGATGAGATGTGGATGAAATGTGAGATGATAAAGGTGAGAAATAGATATGTGGATGAAGAATAGATGAGACGTAGATAAAGAATAGATATGATAAAGGTGAGAAATGGATGAGATGTGGATAAAGAATAGATATGATAAAGGTGAGAAATGGGTGAGATGTGGATAAAGAATAGATATGACATAGGTGAGAAATGGATAAGATGTGGATGAAAAATAGATGAAATGTAGATAAGAAGTAGAAGAGATGTTGATAATATTTAGATAAGTAGGTAAGATGTAGATAATGAACAGATAAGATGTAGATAAGTAGGTAAGATGTAGATTAAGAATAGAAAAGATAAAGATAAAAATAGGTAAAAAAAAGATAGAAGTATATTCATAAGAAATGGAAGAGAAAATAAGAATGTTGAAAAGAATTAAGAATAAGATAAATAAATAATATGTATTTAAGTATACTCTACATCATTATCATTCTAAATTAATTAACTAATTAGCATACTCTAAATCCTTATCATTATCATTATTATTATTATTCCCATTCCCGAACGCCACCAAGAACGCCTCCTCACTTGTGTCCGATTTCGTGCTCCACTCTAAATTAACTAATTAGCAAACTCTAAATCCTTATTCCCGAACGCCACCAACAACGCCTCCTCACTTGTGTCCGATTTCGTGCTTCCACTCTAAATCAATCAACTAATTAGCAAACTCTAAATCCTTATTCCGAACGCCACCAACAACGCCTCCTTGTGTCGATTTCGTGCTGCAGTCCGATTTCGTGTGCCGCGATGTAGGCCGCGGCGAAGGACGTCCCCTCGCTGATGGTGCAGGAGACGGTGGAGGAGCACATCCCGCCGACGTAGGCGAGGCCCACCGTGGAGTTCTGGTCCCGCTGCTCGTTCCACAGGTCCATCCCCGAGAGGAGGAGGGGGTGGTCCCACTTCTTCTCGCCGGTCTGGAGGGAGGGAGGGAGAGAGGGGGTGAGGGAGGAAGAGGGAAGGAAGAGGGGGAAGGGAGGGAGGGTTTTGAGGGAGGGTGTGAGGGGAGGAAGGGGAAGGGAAGGTTTGAGGGAGGGAGGGAGGGAGTAGGGAAGGAAGGGGAAGGTTTGAGGGAGGGAGGAGGGAGTAAGGGAGGGAGGGATGGGAGAAGAGAGAGGGTGTGAGGGTGGGATGGAGGGGTGAGGGAGGAAGGGAGGGAGGGTGTGAGAGGAAGAGGAGGTTGTGAGGGAGGGATGGAGAGTGTTGAGGAGGAGGGAAGAGGGAAGGAAGAGGGGGGGAGGGAGGGAGGTTTTGCAGGCGACGGGTTGTGTGAGGGGAGGAAGGGAGGGAAGGGGAAGAAGGTCCTGAGGGAGGGAGGGAGGAGTAAAAAAAAACAAGGAGGAGGGATGGTGAGGAATAGAGAGAGTACGTGATGTGAGTGTGCTGGATGGGATTCGGGTTGTTTGAGAGGAGGAAGGGAGGAGTGAAGGAGGCTGACGGTGTTAGTGAGGGAGGAAGAGAGAGACCTGGGAGGGAGGAGGGCAGGGGAGAGGAAGAGAGGCGATTAATCAACGTCGGAGGGTGTCCATGTCGATCCGTTCTATAGCGATGGGTCGTGTTGAGGAGGAAGGGATTTAGTGTGGATGGAGAGGAAGAGAGATTGTGTGAGGGAAGGAGGGTCCCTATGTTGAGGCAAGAAAGGGTGGGTGGGGAGGTGAAGAGGGGAGGTGTGTGACGGGGATGGGAGCAAGGGGAAGAGGGGGAGGTCTTTGAGGGAGGGATGGGGGAGGAAGATCAGGCGGGTTGTGAAGGAGGAAAGGGGGTGTGAGGAGGAGGAAGAGGGCTGGTTGAGCGGAGAGAATAAAAAGAACGGAGGCGCAGGGAGGGAGGGGGAGAGAGGCTGAAGAGGAAAGATGGGGGGCAAGGGGAGGGAGGTGAAGGGACGAGAGGGAGAGAAGATGCGGGTGGGAAGGAGGGAGTGAGGGAGGAGAGGAGAGGCGAAGAGAGAGTGGGTGGAAGGAGGGAGGAACGCAGGGAGGGAGAGAGGGAGAGAAGATGGGGTGTGGAAGGAGTAAGGAGGGAGGGAGGGAGGAGTGAAGAGGAGAGAAGATGGGTGTGGAAAGGAGGGAGGCGAGGGAGGAGAGAGGGAGAGAAAGATGGGTTGGAAGGAGGGAAGGGAGGGAGGGCAGAGAGGGAGAGAGAAGGATGGTGGTTGGAAGGGAGGGAGATAGGGAGGACTTTTTACTCTAGCGTTCTCTTTACTGCTTTTCTTTCTTACAGCCGTGATGGACTTTCTTTTTTCTTTTTTTTAAGAAAACAATTCCGCCCCTCCTATGAGGGAATGGGCCAATTTTCCCTTTGAGCTCTGTGTCCGGATGGCGAGAGAAGGAAGGGAGCACAAACGGTAGAGTCTGCGATCGTGATATGAGGTATGGAGAAGGGACGCGCGGTTGAAAAGGGAGGGGAAGGTGATACGTGAAAATCATAAAGGGAGGGACTGGAAGGATGAGAGGGACAGAGCGAAGGAGTGGAAGGAAAGAGAGGGGAGAGGGAGACGCGGAAGGAGGAAGGAGGGAAGGCGGAAGGAAGGAAGGAGGAAGAGGGATAGGAGGGTGAAGGGGGAAGGAAGGAGTGGGGAGGAGGGAGGGAGGGAGGAGGAGGAAGGAAGGGGAGGAGGAGGAAGGTATTGAGTCACAAGGGAGGGAGAGGAAGGGCAGAAGGGCGGATAATGAGGAATGAGAGGAAATAAAACAACAGAGACAAGGTCACAGGCCGGTCAGGGGGCGAGGAGGAAGTGAGGTCAGTGAAAGGGAGTTTTAGGTCATTCCTATTGTTTCAGGGCGAATAACGTGACCTTGATATGAAAACATAGCGAACCTGACTAAATAAAGCCCTAGCCCCTCCCTCCCTCCCTTAAACCATCCCACCCTCTCCCTTCCTCTCTCCCCTCCCCACCTTCCCACTCTCCCATCCCCTCCCTTCTCTCCCTCACTCACTTCTCCCTCTCACCCTCTCCCTTCTCCTTCCCCTCACAGTCCTTCCCTTCCTCTGCTCTCTCTCACTCCCACCCACCTTTCTCTCCCTCCTTTCCCTCTCTCCATTCTCTTCCCCTCCCTTTCCCTCCCTCCCACTCCCCTTCCCCTCTCCCTATGTCCCTCCCACCACCTTCCAACCCCCCCCCCCTCCCCCCCTCCTCCCACTACCTTACCTTCGGGTTTCTGCGAGACTGCCACACACAGAAGTTCTTGAGGTAAGAGTATATGTCCCCGTCTGCCGCTTTGGGCTTCCCAGAGGCAGAGAACCTCACCTTTCTTCACCAACATCGCGATCTTGTACTTCCCGAGAGATTTATCCGATAGAGGCGGTGGACCTGTGTGGAAGGGAGGCTGAGGGTTGTGGAGTGAGTGGTGGAGTGAGGTGGAGTGGGGTAGTGTGACGGGGTGGAAGGGAATTTGAAGCTTGTGGAGTGAGGTGGAGTGGTTAGAGGAGGGAGGGGGGGGGGGGTTGACGCATAAAGAAAAGCTATAAAATGTGGTATAATATTGTACTAAATATCAGTTGCATGAATGAATAGAACTGGAGGACATTGTACTAGTCTACTGAATTCGGAATCAGGAATGGAAAAGAAGAATAAAAGGAGGAGTCAGAGAGAGAGAGAGAGAGAGAGAGAGAGAGAGAGAGAGAGAGAGAGAGAGAGAGAGAGAGAGGAGAGAGAGAGGAGAAGAGAGAGAGAGAGAGAGAGAGAGGAGAGAGAGATATGCAGAAAGAGGAGAAAAAGTAGAACGAAAGAGAGCCACCAAGACCCTCAAATCAACATAAAAAACCAACGCAGATAAAGAAAAAAAAAAAAAAAAAAAAAAAACGAAAAATACGAACTTAAAAAAAAGACAACAAAACTCACAGCATTAACAATAGTCATCACGATATCGAGCGTCCTCTGGTCTTGATTGAGGCTCGGGTAGCGTTTCTTCACGTAGCGATAAGCGCTCGATCCATCGTAAACCCGCTAGCTCATCCGCTGTACTTGTCCGCAGCCGCTCGCTTCCACCTCCTCCAGTGCTTTCTCCGCTCTTTGCCTCTACGTCCGTCTCTTCGTCCTCCCTTCTGTCTTTCGCTTGTCGGGGAGCGAGTGGAGGCAGGGCTGTGGCTCCCTCTCGAACTCCTTGTTTTTTTTCTTTATCACTGCTTTCTCCCCCGCAACTCATCTAATCTACACACACACACAAACACATATATATCACTCTCTTACTCACTCTCTTTCTACTTCTGCTGTCTCCTTTCCTACCGCCCCTCCCTCCTCTCTTTTTCTTCCCCTACTTTTCTCTTCCGCCCCTCTCCCCTCTCCCCTCGAAACGCTGAACCCCCCCCTCTCTCTCTTCCCTCACACCTCCCTCTCTCCTCCCTCTCTCTCTCCTATTCTTCCCCCCTTTCCCTCTCCTATTCTCCTGCCTCTCTCTCCCTATTCTCCTCCCCTCTCTCTCTCCTATTCTCCCCCTCTCCCTCTCCCTTTCCCTCTCGAAACACTGAAGTACCCGCGTTTTCCGAGAGCCCCCCCCCCTCTCTCTCTCTCTTTCCCTCACACCTCCCTCTCTCTCCATTTCTCTCCCTCTCTCTCTCCTATTCTCCTCCCTCTCTCTCTCCTATTCTCCCTCTCTCTCTCTCTCCTCCTCTCTCTCCTATTCTCCTCTCTCTCTCCTATTCTCCCCCCCTCTCCCTTTCCTCTCTCTCCTATTCTCCCTCTCGAAACACTGAACTCACGTGCATTTTTCCGAGAGCCCCCAACTCTCTCTCTCCTATTCTCCCCCCCTCTCCCTCTTCCTCTCTCCTCCTATTCTCCCCCCCCTCTCCCTCTTCCTCTCTCTCTCCTATTCTCCCCCCTCTCCCTCTCCCTCTCCTCTCGAAACACGGAACTCACCTGCGTTTTCCGAGAGCCTCTTCTCAATTCTGGTGATGATGTACCTGCTGCTCTCCTCGACGTCTCTCCGCGTTCTGGCGCTCAGGGAGTCCACAGCCTCGACCTCGTAACTTTTCCCGAGATGGTCAACCACTCCATTCTGGAATTCAGAGAAGAGAAGAAGAAAGAAATGGAATTATGGTGGGTTATAGGGAAGAAGAAAAGAAAAAAAGGAATTATGGTGGGTTATACGGAAGAAGAAAGAAGAAGAAGAAAAGAAAAAGGAATTATGGTGGGTGATAAGGAAGAGAAGATGAAGAAAAAAATGGAATTATGGTGGGTGATACGGAAGAGAAGAAGAAGAAAAAAAGAATTATGGTGAGTAATACGGAAGAGAAGAACAAGAAAAAATGGAATTATGGTGGGTTATACGGAAAAAAGAAGAAATAATGGAATTATGGTGGGTGATATGGAAGACGAAGAAGAAAAAGAAGAAATGGAATTATGGTGGGTTATACGGAAGAAGAAAGCAAAAGGAAAAAAAATGGAATTATGGTGGGTGGTTCGACTTTGGTTAGATTTTAGTACGACGAATGAGGAGAAAATATCAATATGTCATTTAGTGGGTATTTTTGATTGGGTATATCAGTGTGGTAGAGTGACGTAAGGTGGAGATTCAGATCGGGTATGCTGGTATGATGCAGTGAATTATATACTACAGTGGAAGGTTCGGGTATACTGTTATGATAGAGCGAAACGTTTATCAGTGGGATTTTAAGAGATACTGGTATGACATAACGAAAGAATATATCAGTAGAAGGTTTGGGTATACTAGTATGATATAGCGAAGAAGATATCACATCGATGTTCTGCTCGGGCAGTATACTAACACAACATAGTGGAGAATATAACACCACAGTAAGAAGTGATACTCAGGAAAAGATATGACAGTGGTAGAAAAACCCACAATGTACAAACTAAATTTATTGAAATAAGTGAGACAACAGTTTCAGAATCGTCCTCTGTTATCTCACTTCAGTAAATTTAGTTTGTGCATCGTGGTTTTTTTTCTACCATAAATATCAACACAGTAGAGTGTTTTCCTACTCATTCTTCAGTACGATACAGTGAAGAATTTAAGAATATTTGCCCATTCGATCTGCTCTTGGGTATAGTGACAGTGACATAACAATAAAGAATATTTAACTACAGGTCCTGTTCTTGGGTATAGTGACACAGTGACATAACAATAAAGAATATTTAACTACAGGTCCTGTTCTTCGGTATAGTGAGTGAAATGATAATAAAGAATATTTAACTACAGGTCCTGTTCTTGGGTATAGTGACACAGTGACATAACAATAAAGAATATTTAACTACAGGTCCTGCTCTTGGGTATAGTGACATGGTGAAATGATAATAAAGAATATTTAACAACAGGTCCCGCTCTTGGATATAGTGACGTGACATAATAATAAAGAATATTTTACATGTCTTGCTCCTTGATATAGTGACATAGTGACATGATAATAAAGAATATTTAACTACAGGTCCTGCTCTTGGGTATAGTGACAGTGAAATGATAATAAAGAATATTTAACAACAGGTCCTGCTCTTGGGTTCAGTGACAGTGAAATGATAATAAAGAATATTTAAATACATGTCCTGCTCCTTGATATAGTGACAGTGAATAATAAAGAATATTTAACAACAGGTCCCGCTCTTGGATATAGTGACAGTGACATAATAATAAAGAATATCTAACAACAGGTCCCACTCTTGGCTATAGTGACACAGTGACACGATAAAGTGACACATGGCTACCACTGTCATGACACAGGTACAGCAGATCCTCACCAACTCATCACAGACTGACATCACCGCCCATGTGTCGCCAGAGGCCCCGGCGAACATGCAGTTATGAGGCGCCGGAACTTCTCTGTTGGGGTCGTCGGTGAAGCTGCGGGCAGTGAGAGAGGTGTGAGTGGTATGTGGTATGAGGTTAGGTATGTGGTATGTGGTTCTGTGTGAGGTTAGGTATGTGGTCTGATATGTGGTATGTGGTTCTGTGTGTGGTATGTGGTTCTGTATGTGGTATTTGGATTTGTATGTGGTCTGAGGTTGGGTATGTGGTATGAGGTTGGGTATGTGGTATGTGGTTCTGTATGTGGTGTGTGGTTTTGTATGTGGTCTGAGGTTGGGTATGTGGTATGAGGTTAGAAATGTGGTTTGGTATGTGGGATGAGGTTTGATATGTGGTATGAGGTTTGGTTGTGGTATGGGGTTTGGTATGTGGTGTGAGGTTAGGTATGAGGTTTGGTTGTGGTATGGGGTTAGGTATGTTTTATGAGGTGAGATATGTGGTATGAGGTTAGGTCTTTCAAATGAGGTTAGGTATTTCACACTGACCAAGAAAAAATATACCCAAAAAACTACCAAACACAGAATAAAAAAAAAAGCAATTAACAAATAAACAATACCCCCCCCTCCCCCAAAAAAAAACAGAAATAAGATAAAGAAAACGACATAACACCCCCCAAAAAAAAAAACAAAAAAAAAAAAAAAAACGGAGACAGAAACGGACATAACAACCCCCCCAAAAAAAAAAACAAAAAAAAAAAAAACAGAAAAAGAGAAAGAAACGGACATAACAACCCCCCCCCAAAAAAAAAAAAAAAAAAAAAAAAACGGAGAAAAAAAAAAAAAACCATAACAAAAAAAAAAAAAAGAAATAAGATAAAGAAAACGGACATAACAACCCGAAAAAAAAAAATCGGACATAAAAAAAAAACCACATATAAAATAAAGAATAACAACCCCCCCCCCAAAAAAAAAAAAAAAGACCGGACATAACAACCCCCCCCCCAAAAAAAAAAAAAAAAAAAAAAATAAAATAAAGAAAACGGACATATAAAAGAAAACGGACATAAAGGAAAACGGAGTAACTTCGGACATAACAGAAGGATCACCTCAGCGTCAGTCCCGGAGAAGCTATATCGATCGGTTCGAGTTGGAGGTGGACCTCGGAACCGTCGATCGGCAGCGAGAGCTCGAAGGCCGACCCGCCCACGCCCGCGGTACCGTCCGCCGCCCGCCCATAGCGCTGTGGGAGGCTTCGTAATACGCGATAGGGCCCGGATGCTGTTGCGAGTGACGTCACAGGGTGGGATGACGTCACGGGTGGGATGACGTCACAGGGTGGGATGACGTCACGGGTGAGATGACGTCACGGGGTGGGATGACGTCATGGCGATGGTCACAGGCGGAAGGAAATTCAGGTTAGGAAATCGCTTGTGAGGTTTGGTTTTTGTTAGGTTTTGTGTTATTATGTTTATCAGTTTTTGTTGTTCCTATTATTTTTTTAATTAGTCTGTTGTTTTTATTATTTTGATTAGTTTTCTGTCGTCATTTTCTTTTTATTAGTTTTATTCTTATTATTGTATAATCATCATCATTATCATTATCACTATCATTATCATTATCATTATCATTATCATTATCATCATCATCATCATTATCATTATTATTATTATTATTATTATTATCATTATTTATTTCATGTTATAGTGTTTCTATGATTTCTCTTGTTTGACTGTAGGTTACATTCAATAATAATAACAATAATAGTAATAATAATAATAATATCAATGATGATAATGAGAGAAATAATGATTATGATAATATTGATAATAATAATCAGCAACAAAAAGTAATAATAATACTAATAATAATGATGATAATAATGAGAGAAATAAGGATTATGACAATATTGATAATAATAATCAGCAACAAAAAGTAATAATAATAATAATAATAATGATGATAATAATGAGAGAAATAATGATTATGATAATATTGATAATAATAATCAGCAACAAAAAGTAATAATAATAATAATAATAATAATGATGATGATAATGAGAGAAATAAGGATTATGACAATATTGATAATAATAATCAGCAACAAAAATGATCATAATCATAACGACAACAACAAAACATAGAGAAACAAATGTATAAATGAAAGAATTAATACTCACGTTGGTGCAATCTGTGAGAGAAGATCCGATTCTCTATCTCAGGTTCCAGTCGCTCAGGTGAGTCTTGCAGGTGAATCTTTGGGAGAAAAAAAGAAGGTTGTTTGTGATTGTAAAAGGGGAAGGTGAAGATTGTGAATGAAGGAGAAGAAAGTAGTGCGGGTTGTGGATGAAGGAGAAGGTTGTAAAGATTGTGAATAAAGGAGGGGGAGTTGTGAAGATTGTGAATGAAGGAGAGGAATTGCGGTTGTGGATGAAGGAGAAGGTTGTGAAAATTGTGAATGAATGAGAGGAATTAAGGTTGTGAATAGAGGAGAAGGTTGTGAATGAAGGAGAGTAGGTTGTGAAAATTGTGAATGGAGGATAGGGATATTGTGAAGATTGTGAACGAAGGAGAGGAATTTAGGTTGTGGATGAAGGAGAAGGATGTGAAGATTGTGAATGAAGGAGAGGGAAGTTGTGAAGATTATGAATAAAAAATGAAGGTTGAGAAGGTTGTGAATAAAGGAGAGGAAGGTTGTGAAGATTGTGAATGAAGGAGAAGGATGTGAAGATTGTGAATAAAGGAGAGGGAAGTTGTGAAGATTATGAATGAATGAGAAGGTTGTGAAAATTGTGAATGAAGGAGAGGGAAGTTGCGTGGGCTGTGAATGAAGGAGAGGGTGAATGAAATGTCATAAATGACTGTTGTAAAACTGAACAGATTGTGAACGAATCATAACTTAGTGAAAATCGTGAATGAAATAGTGAAAAAAGATTATGAAGATTGGAACCGGAACACCAAATGACACAGTATGAAAACGGAAAGTCCAAAATTATATATACATATATATATATATATATATATATATATATATATATATATATATATATATATATATATATATATATATGTATATATTATATATATATATATATATATATATATATATAAAGAGAAAAAAAATATTCATACGTATTCAACCCCCCTCCCCCTCCTCGCTACCTCATAGCCTTATAATATCCATTTACGTAGCCGGAATAAGAACAATAAAGCATCAGAGAGAAATAGAAAAACAAAAACAACAAAATAACAAATTTGCATAAAGAGGTGAATATAAATGATGGCAAAATTTACAACACACATCCGTTTGTTATATTTTCCTCCTCTCTCTCTACGTGTTTCTTTTTTTCTCTGTCTATCTAACTATCTATTCATCTACTTGTATCTATCGTTCTCTTTTTCTAACTGGTTCTCTCTGTCTATTTGTCTACATACATACTTGTCTATATACATCTATTTGTCTGTCTTTCTGTTTGTCTGACTGTATCTCTCTCTCTCTCTTTCACCCTCTCTCCCTCTCTTTCTTTCTCTCCCTCTCCCCCTCTCTATCTCTCTCTCCCTCTGCCTCCTCTTTCTCTTTGTCTCTCCCCCCACTCTCTCTCTCTCTCTCTCTCTCTCTCTCTCTCTTTCTTTTCTGATTTTCTTTCCTCTTTAACAGACACATATACATGTATATTACAGCATTGAAATTGGTATTGCTTCAGCATTACAATCATTATTATTATTGTTACATTTCCATATCTTATTGTTTTGATAATCATTTTGCAATCATTATTACTATTGTAATAATGACATTCATTATTCTTGTTATCATCATAATCTTTATTGTTATTATTATTATTATTATTATTATTATTATTATTATTATTATTATTATTATTATTATTATTATTATTATTATTATTATTATTATTATTATCATTATTATTATCATTATTATTACTTCATCATTATCATTATGATGATGATGATGATGAGGATAATAATGCTAATAATAATGACAATGATAATGATAATGATATTACGACTACTAGTAGTAATAATAATGATAATAATGATAATAGTAGTAGTAGTAATGATAATGATATGATGATGACAATAATAATAATAATAATGATAACGATAACATAATGGTAATAATATCAGTAGCAATGATAATAATAATGATAATAATAGTAGCACTACTACTACTGCTAATAATAATAATAATGATAATAATCACAATAATAATGATACTAATGACAATAACGATAAAAAATAATGACAACAATAACATGATAATGATAATAATAGTAGTAATACTAATAACAAAAACAACAATGGACATGATAATGGATAATAATAATAATGATAAAAACAATAACAAAAACAATAATAATGATAATTACAGTAATAACAACAATGATAGTGATAATGAAAACAATAATGCTAATATTCATAATGATAATGATAATAATAATAATAATAATAATAATAATAATAATAATAATAATAATAATAATAATAATAATATCATTAGTAATTAACAACAACAATAATGATGATCATGATGATGATAAACGACAACTATAATAGTGATAATGATATAACATGAAATAGAGAAATAATGGTAACAACAAAACGAAATCTCTTGCGGTAGCGGTGCGACAAGGTACAAAAATAAAAATAAATAGTAAGGATAATAATGATAGAAAATAATGATAATGATAATAACGATAATAATGATAATAAGGATGATGGTGATGATGATGATAATAATAACGATGATGATGATGATAATGATGATGATGATGATGATGAATGATGATAATGATGATGAAATAATAATTATCATTATTTTAACAAATAATAATAATAATGTAATAATGATGATAATAGTAATAATGATAACATAATAATGATAACAATAATGACAATAGTGATAGTAATAATAATAATAATAATAATAGTAATAATAATAACAACAATGATAAAAATGATGTTGTGTGTGTGTGTGTGTGTGTGTGTGTGTGTGTGTGTGTGTGTGTGTGTGTGTGTGCGCGCGGTGTGTGTGTAAGAAGCTGTAGATGCCTCTTACGTGGGACCTGTGGCTAGAGTGCTAGATTGGTACGGCTTGACTCTAAATTATCGTAAAGAGTATAACACAAATAACGAAATAACGATACTCTGATCTGCGCTAGTGCTTGGGGGCGGCGGAGACAGCTGACCATTATTCTTCCGCTGGTTTTGGAAGCCACGCAGAAGCCACGGGGAGCCTCGCATGGCTTGGGGCTTTATAGCACTTTATTTCCGCTATTTTAGAAGCTCAGATTTTCCAAAAGTTAAGTTTATATGCCCACCATATATAAAATCAGAGTTTGGAGCAGGTGAAATGATGGGGGGAGGGTAAAAAAAGAAAAAAAGAAAAAAAAAAAAAAAACACAGAAAGGGGACAACAACATGGGTGTTAGTAGAACAGGGCGTATTCTCACCGTAGATTGCTAAAATATTAATAATGAGAAATATCTACGAGGAACGTCGTGGAACATACTAAAGAGAAATTACGCTTGATGTTGTTAATAAGAAATGACATTCGGAGAAGATTTGTTATAAGAGATAAAATCACAACCAAAAATCTGGAATTTTTTATCCAATAGAAATTAATTAACTTTAAACGAGGATTTTATTACTACTGGTTTATTATAAATGAGATTATTTTAAACGTAACCGTTTTATGAGTTGTTTCATTTATTTCGATTTCCATTAATCCATTTTTTTTTTCATGTAGAAAAGTCGTGTCACTGTTCAAGATGATAAGATTATTGATAATGGTATTGATTTTCATATCTGAATGATTACTGTTTTTCAGTAACTTATCATATGTTCGATATGACTTGCTGTATCACTGTTATATCGTCTTATTATTATTATCAATAGGATTAGCACTATTGCGATAACAGTCTATATGCTCATCATCATCACTACCATTAATATTGTCATTACCCTTTTTACCATTACCATAGCAATGCTGTTCTGTCATAAGGACTATTATTATGATTATTATTATCATCATTACGATTACTATCACCACAAATACGACTATCACTATCAATAATTATCATCCCCATCACAGTTATCATTACCACTATCATTGTCATTATCTTCCATATTATCACCGCTGTCATCATTATCTTCATTGCTAATGACATTTAATAAGTATCACGGTGGTGAGTACTATCAGCATTATTATTATAATCAGCATTATCGTTGTTGTTTTTATATTATTACATTGTTATTTGTAGCAGATAATGTACTAGTCTATTTTCATCGTCAGTTGTAAATATTATCAAAATTAACAGTAACATAATGTTTGTATTACATTCACTATCATTCATCATGGTTGTCGTCATATTGCTTTCACGTTATCATCATTTTAACAATTGTTATTATTACTACTGACAGTTATCATTATCATTCCCATCTTCATTATTATCAATACCATTGTTATTGTAAATTATTTTGCTTGTATACATTATTAATCTTCGCCCTCACCATTATATTATTATCACCGTCATTGTTATAAGTATTTTATTATAATACTAGGGTTATTATCATTATTGTTATTATCATGGCCACTTAATTCCAACTTCTATTATATTCGTCTTTTTATTTATAATGCTCTTTTTTTTGTTCTGTCCTAAATTCATGTTATCTCCGCCGATTTATATAATTCTGTGACTGCACACATGAACTGACTGGAGTAACGATGATCAAAGTGATTTCCTGTAGTCTTCTCTGGTTAGCAGTATCTTCTACGAAACTGTAATCCTGGCCATCGACTCCAGACTATCGAGGACTTCTGCTCATCTCATTGACATTAAAACCATAACTAAGAAACGTATTATCCGCTTAGAGCACCATCCGCCATGGCTTCTCGTCTGATCGGGGGCACTGTGGTAACTTTGCCTTGCCCAAGGAACAAATCTACAGGTTAGGGGACCCAAGGAGCACATTACACCTCCTTCAGTAAGATGAGTCATCTTACTCCTCTAGGATACCAATATAATAATGATATAAACAATAACTATTGTAGCAATAATGTTTATAGTAATAATAACGATAAAATCATAATAGAGATGATAGAAATACTTCATTATTATTAGGAGTATCATTTTTACTATCATTAGCCTTTTAATATATAATGTTACCATTATGGGGATGATAGTAATAATGATTATTAATATGATTATAATTGCCATTATTATTATCATGATTCATAATAAAGATGATAATATTGATAACTTTTTTAACATTATATCATCATCATCATTGCCATTATCATTATTAGTACTAGCAATATCATTATCATTATTATCATCACCATTACTACTTTTCCTCTTCATCAAAAGAGAATTATTGTTCCTATTATAACTGTTGATCTCCATCAGCCAATTATAAGCATCTGTATTGGTATTGTTATATTTGGAAGGGAAGGTGTTATTTTCCCAATAAACGTTAAAGCGACATGACCTTCGCATTTTTTTTCTTTATCATTTTGCTTTTGCCTTTCCGTATTTTTTTTTTTTATGTCATTTCTTCATGTCTCCTATTTCTTTGCCTTTTACACACTTCCTCTGAAGCACTCACCCTGATATTCTATTTTCACACTCGCACTCAAATTCCCTCAAAATGATAAGGAAATATGTATAATAAAAAATGAAATTGAATAATGACGTATCGAACTCGTCAAGGGTTCCTCATCAGACGAATGAATAAGCAAAATGAATCGTCCATTTTTGTTATTTGTTCGTCTGGTGTGGAGCTCTTGACGTGCTCGAAACGTCACGATTCAATTTCATTTCTTATTGTGTCTTTCTCCTTTTTGTCCTTATTTCTTATTCTCTTTTGTGATCACATTAGTGTATCTGCA